GATTGCCAGTAGTGCTTACTTTGTGGAATAAAAGGATAAATACATGGTGTAAAGTTGTGTGAAGTGTTCAAAAAAATAGGTGAGATGTCCATGTAGATAAATAAATGTTAAAAAGCCCGATCATTTTGCGTTTTGCGATCAATTTTTCGTGGGGACAGGTGGTGACAGGTTGCAGTAGCAAAATCAAGCTGACAATGTTCTATAGCCCTGCGACAGTTAAGGCCCATTCACACCAGAGCTACGCTCATCACGATCGCCCCACGCTCCAAAAATTTGCCCGAGCGTGGTTGAGAGCGTGGCCAATTGGGCCCCAGCCGGGCCCAGCGCCGATACTACGATCTAATTACGTCGATACTACGATCTAAGTGCGTCTTTTACCCGATCTCATTGCGCTCAACAAGCTTTCACTACGCTCAACACCACGCCCGCATCACGCTTGCACTGCGCCCACTGCGTCTTTATTGCGACCAATCAGATCGCATTGCGTTCGAAAGACGCTTGCACTGCGCCTAAGCACAGCTCACCGCGCCTAAACGCCAGTCACGCTCCTAGTGCGACTTAATCACGCTCTAGGCAGGCGCCGACTGCGCTGGCAACGACCATATAAATACCGCGCCGCGTTCTGCCGTGCTGTTCACATCAAGATTATTTTCTACTGATTTTATTCCCATAATAGTATAACAGTATGCTACAACTATGCCGCCAAAAGACTTCTATTTCTCCTCCTCATCCTCCTCAGCATGATGAGGGCTTGGCAATCAAGTAATTCAAGTTGTCCTTCTACGAGAAACATGGCATGGAGTAGTGTTGCCTCATCCATAGTGGACACTGGTGGGGTGGCCAGGGTAGCACCCCAATTTATACCCCAAGTGGCAAGTTCGCAGGACGTGATCTGAGCGTAACTAACACGTAATGCGAACGCCACAACGGCGTGGTCTGAGCGTGTTGGGCGTAGTACAATCGTAGTACGAACGGGTCGAGCTTGCTATCTAGAGCCGCACCATGGTCATAGCGAGAGCGTGGTCAGGTCGCAGAGACATCTCCATGGACGTAGTAACAGCGTGATGAAAACGTATTGACATCGTGCTGAGAACGGGGCGACAATTTTCACGCACCCTACACGCTTGCGATACGATCATTAAGTTCGTACTACGCTCGAGTTACGTGGGTACTACGCCTTCCACGTCTCTAATACGCCCGCACTGCGCTGTCTTTCCGCCACGCTCGCACCACGATTGTTTTTGAACATGTTCAAAGTTTGGCCACGCTCTCCACGCTCATGGTGACTGCATCGCGCTCGATCGCGATCGCAGTACGTCCATATACATTCATACTGCGATCTACACGTTTCCACCACGCTCTTAGAGCGTAGTACGAGCGTAGTGAGATCGGGGCCCTGGTGTGAATGGGGTATTAATGAACGCGGGTTATAGCCTATACTCCTAGGCTATAGCCTATAGGGCCTATAGTACTAGACTCTAGAGCTAATTCCAACCCACCTTGATTTTCTGTATCAAGACGACCTGATACCTTATCACCGAGTTTGAGTGGCAGCATCTCTCTGTATTTACCATACCGTATAATAGGATACTTGGTCCTTAACGGTAACTGATAAACTCGCGTTAATGAAGGCATTTTTACATTAAATTTACTTTCAACAAAATATCAACACAACACAACTTCATTGGACTGCCGTCCTGAATCATGTCACAAGATGGCGCTATACCGTTTTAGTTCAAATTGGTAATCTCAAAACGCGAGTTTTTGTGGTTTAAAGAAAATCAAACTATACACTCAAAAGTATGAATTACAAATCAATGCTCAAATCGAAGTTGTGTACAATTAATTATATTCATTAAAGAAAATTTTTCTTCAAATTACATTTATTGTCACCAGGTGGCGCCAGAAAACAAATCACATTTCCTTATTTTTGTGTCAGCGTTTTTGTTGTCAAAGAACTTTTAGTTTACTGTTCTGTGTTCAGCAAGTCGAACTCTAAGTGGTTATTCACGGTGACATATCTATTTTATTAAAGTATTGTATAGTGTTTTACTCCTTAAGTTTGGCTGAGTAGTAAACTATGCCCAGGACATCCAACACAAACATTCATGCCGTATACATGTAACTTGCTAGCGAATGTAAATATAACTTCGCAATGACTGATATTTTGAAAACACTCAAAGAAAGAGCGCAGAAACGTAGGAAGTTGTTAGCGCAACAGGTAGGTATATGCTAACTAAATAGGACACTTACAAGCCTGGTTTTTCTCCGCTCACTTATAGTGCATTTAGACTAATCCGTGAGTTGGCAATGATATTGATAGTGTATAGAGTAGATAAATCTGTTTAATCCTACTTTCCAGCAGTCCACATTTGCTCCTTCCTCATCATCGTCGTATCGGAGTCTTACTTCCCAGACACAACCTGCCGGTTCAGTGGGCTATATGCTGTTTGCCAGTATTGTTGCTCTAGTGCGTACATACATACCCAAATTTATGCAAATATACGCATACAGCCACATCAGAATGCATGCACATACAGTTATTGGTATGAAAAGTACAAGTATAATGTGCTGAATACAGTTAAGCATTACGCTAGTACGTAGTACATCCATTTTATCAACATGTTCCTGCTATCGGTGTGTAAGTACACAGTAGTCAGTACAATAAGCAGGCATAACTGTCAGTGTGTAAATCTATTATCACTGATTTCCAGTTGGGAGTAGGAAGTGTCGACAAACTCAGCAGTGTTTTAGGAAACCAAGCAGAAAAAGATGCTTTAGCAGCTGCTAAGCAGGCTTCAAGGTTAGTATTAGCACTTTAGTAGCATTTGAACAAATACAGATTGTGGCAACTGGTTCTAGTAATGTTATGCACTTCTGTGCTAATTGATGTGGTTATGAGGTTATAGTGTCACCTATACCAAATGTATGTTGGATGTTTTGTTGACAAAGCTAGTATGAAAGGAGTGAAATATCAGACGCTGTATATAGAAGATTAGTCGACATAATAATGTATTGCGATAGATACAAACATAGATATCCTATATACACTAGATAGGATGATCAATGCAATTGGTCACACAAAGCCTATGTCACCAGGTCCGCCATTTTGATGTGTGTAGTGAAAATGTCACTTGCTGTTCTATCTAGTGTATATATATGATATGATTGATATCTATGGATACAACAATTGCATGTACGCGGTGTAGCGTGTGTCGGTGTGTGTGTGTATGGGCATGTTAGCCATTACATGAGTGCCTTGGGCTTTCTAGTGACAGTAATGGTGCGAGCACAGCCAGCAACCCAAAGAAGAGGGATTGGGAGGATGATGACGATGATGAGGTAATAAAGAATGTGAAGTGTATCAATGTCTTCCATACATATCATCATTTTATTTTAAAGACTAAACAGTATATTGCATTGGGCAACACATTCCATTGTTATTGTTTGATATGTGTAAGTTTCAATTCAATTTTGCAGGAAAGCTTCACATATGAAGAGCCAGAAGATATGGAAGCTCAGATTTACAAGGATTCAAGTACATTTTTGAAGGTAAACCAATCTGTTTATATCATTTTAATGAAGGCACATACATAGTGTTCCATTCTATGTGTATTCTGATATTACACATAGTTATATGTAGATAAATTTCTTCTATATAATAAGGTGGCTAATGGTAGCAAAATAAAAAAAAATGCATATATTGATTAAAGTTGTATGTTTTAGGAAGGAAATAATGATTCCACTACTCCTACTTATATCAGGTGAACTGCAAGCAAAATAGAATTGTAGGTGCAGAATATACAATCAATTTGCACATTTATATTTGTATTTTCCTCTTGGTAGGGCACACAAAGTGCGAATCCTCACAACGACTACTGCCAGCATTTTGTTGACACTGGGCAAAGGCCGCAAAACTTCATCCGAGACGTTGGATTGGCCGATCGCTTCGAGGAATATCCGAAACTGAGAGAGCTCATCAAGCTAAAGGATGAACTTATCGCAAACACTGCGACGCCGCCAATGTAGGTGCTGTTGTGTGCATGCAGGGAATGAAGTTTCTGTAGCACATTGAGGAAATACTGCATAAATTGCCTCCATCACTTGTCAAGCACAAAGCTCAGAAGTTTCTTTCCGAGGCAACCTGCGTTACAAGCATTTTCTCGTCTGTGGTCACCTTTAACAGAAATTAAGTTGCGAGTGAATAGGTTGGCAAACCTCTATTTACTAATTTGAAACACGTGGTACAAATTTGATGTCTATATTAGGTTACAATTAACATAAAATCATCTGGTGGATGTATCTGGTGGATGTATGGTGGATGTATGTGTTCACAAATGACTGCATGTAGGTACCTCAAGTGTGATCTTCTCAATTACGACTTGCGAGAGTTGGACTGCAAGTTTGACGCAATTCTGGTCGAGCCACCACTGACTGAATACCAGCGAATGCAGGGCGTCAATAACATGCGTTGCTGGACGTGGGAAGAGGTGCATTTCCTTATCGAAACAGCTACACACTAAAAAAAAAATTAGCCATAGTGTGACCAACGTAAACTTGTGTGTAGAAATCAATGCATTATTGCTCACAGCATGTGGGTACAAATATCTTCTGCACTTTATGAAAATGTGTGTTCTCGCTCAATATTGGAAACAAATTTGATGTGAGATTTTATAGGAATGTAATGCTGATCGATTTTCTACTTGCGTCCTTGTCTACAGGTGATGAGCTTGCCAGTGGAAGAAGTGGCAGCGGCCCGGTCATTTGTTTTTCTATGGTGTGGGTCGTCAGATGGCTTAGACTTGGGTAGACAGGTAAGGGGTTTCTCTGGCTGCTGAGTATAACCACAGGAATTATCAGTTGGCTTTTATTATTGTGATATTGAAAATGCTAAAAGTGGTTTTTAGCTCACCTTGACATCGTCAAGATGAGCTATTGCCATGGGGTGTTGTCCGTCGTACGTCCGTCCGTCAACATTTGGCTACGGTCAACGATAACTTGAGAACCGTTTGACCCATATGTTTCAAATTGCATACAGTTGTTACTCCTATGGGAGAGATGTGAACGTCCTATTTTGGAGCACGCCGGTTGACCTACTTTCGAGCCACGTCCACTTTTTGGCAAAAATGGAAATGGCTATAAGTCAGTTCAGGTTCAACGGATTTTGCTCATTTTTGGTATGTGAATGAATGAGGACTGGCCCCAAAACGTATCACAGGGCTTTTGATATTTTTTTTTAATTATGCAAATTAGGTAGATTTTGGCAATTTCACTATGCATTTCAGTGTCTGCTTACGGTCAACGATAACTTAAGAACCGTTTGACCCACATGTTTCAAATTGCATACAGTTGTTACTCCTATGAAGAGAGATTTGAACGTCCTATTTTGGAGCACGCCAGTCGACCTACTTTCGAGCCATGCCCACTTTTTGGCGAAAATGAAAATGGCCATCTAGATTCATTCAATTTTGTTAAATTTACCTACCTACCTAATCATACCTACGTGTAATATTGTGTTTTAGATTCTTCGTTACAGTAATTTGACTGGAATATTTTATTGCTTTTATTTGCACGATAATCAAAAACCAAAATGGCAATCATTTAGGCGTAGCGCCATCTCTCGCCCAGATTTCATACTTTCAGATTTGAAACATTTATTTTAGCATCAGAACTAACCCGGAAACAAAGCAGTGAAATTTCTATTAGTATAAAACAGGGAATAAGAACATTTGATCACATTTCGGTCCGTCATAAATGAAACACTTACGAAATTTTTAATATCATCTCCCTCTTCTATCACACCCAAGGTGAGCTATAGTGTCATTGACACTTTCATTTATATAAGCACTGGTTCTAAAGTGGTGTCTGCTAACACATGTTTGGCTGTAGTTGCTTGAAAAAAACACACAATAATAATAGGAGGAATGTTAAGCGAGGATTTATTGCTGCAGTCTCATCCAAATGCAATGTTTCATGATAGATAGAAACCACATTATTTGATCAGGATCTGTTGCGAAATATGGATTCTGTACATGCATGCCATTCCATGTGTGCACACACTGTCAGAGAACTATGTTTAGGAGAATTAAACATGGTGACCTATTCTTAATTTTTAGTGCCTGAGGAAGTGGGGCTTCAGGCGGTGTGAAGATATATGCTGGGTGAAGACGAATATCCAAAATCCGGGACATTCCAAAAACCTGGATACAAAGCAGATCTTTCAACGAACAAAAGTGTGTAGGATAGCAACAATACTCCTTCTGTGTAACAGCTTGATAGTTGCCAGTTGGATTACCACATACTCGGATTTTTATTTTACTTACTACTTTATATACTTTGTGCATTGCCCCTTGTATATGTCGTCTATAGGTTCACATCACTGTGGCTAGATATATTCTTACAGCTAGGCAGCATTGCTCTTTTGTATATATCTCAAAACAGTTTACTTTCTAATGTGGTAAATCGTGGTGTGCTAAGAAAACTATGTTATTGTTATTAACAGAATTTTATAAATTTAAGTGGTATTACATGCCTAAAAATTGACAATGTAGAAAAACTAACCATTTTTAACATCGATAAATAGTTGGTTATCAAACGTGGAGAGAATCTCTTTTTCCGTTTCTCACACCAGGAGCACTGTCTCATGGGAATCAAAGGGACCGTACGGCGGAGCACTGATGGAGATTTCATTCATGCCAATGTGGACATTGACCTGATCATCTCAGAGGAGACAGAGTGGGGCTCCGTGGACAAACCAGTGGAAATGTCTCACATCATCGAACACTTCTGCATGGGCAGGCGGCGGCTGCACCTCTTCGGACGTGACAGTAAGACGTCACAGATCTGTGTCGAGTTTGTGGCGAGAGCCAAGGCAATTGATCTTATCTGCCTAGCGTGAATGGTTGCGATGAGTAGCCAATCAATGTTGTGTCATGACGTGCTAAAAACAGCGCTTAGTAACAACGTTCCGTAAAGTCGATTTTTACGCGTGCATGTGTGTGAAACCGTGTGCAGAGTGGGTGGGCTGGAGCAACCTAACAACAATATCCAAAGGGAGTGTGGTTATCTCTGAGAGACACGTAGGCGAATTCTCGATGTTACGATCCTCGACACTTGTACCCTCGGATTATGAGCATGTGTCGAGCATTTTGCACTGTAAATGACTGTAGAGGGCATGCGATGCATTTACTGCATTGTTTCTGCAGCTTCAATTCGCAACGGATGGTTGACAGTCGGACCGGACCTGACCAACAGCAATTTCAGCGCAGAGAAGTACAAGTCCTACTTCGTCAAGAGTGCTACAGACCACCTCACTGGCTGCACCGACAGAATTGAGGCTCTCCGGCCCAAGTCTCCACCCCCGAAGAACAAGGGTGGATCCTCGGGAGGAGGGGGACGCAACTCATCGAGAGGAGGGTCCTTCCGTGGTGGAGGTCGCGGGGGCTACTCTGGCAGGGGAAGAGGAGGGAGGGGCGGATTTCCTGCACGGTGACAGATTAGTATTAGTAGTGCCACCTTATGAAAAATTATGCTTAGCCATTATTATAATCATGTACATACATTAAATATTTGTGCTCCTAGTAGAAAGTTGTGGAATAGCAATAGGGTTGTGAAAGCTGAAGGTGTTTCTATTATGCTTGATGGCTTGACGAATTTGGTGAATGCTACACCACAAAGCTCATACCAAGCAATATCAAGTAAAAAACGTTTTGTCAAAAAACACGATTTGTATTGGTTCCCTACAGGAACATACCTAAAAATCACTTGGTGGCCTATTGCACATTACTTAATACATGTACCACGCTGGTATTGTCTATTGTGGGCTGGCTAACTTTCTTTTTCAATATCAGTGAAATCTTAGGGGTAGTTTATTATTCTCTTAAATGTGTAGCTAGAAAGGCATGTTATTTATAGAGTAATTTGATCTATGATAGAAACTGTTCAACCATTTTGTGCATAACATCAACCAATATAGGGTATGACCATAGATATCATATAACACATGTCGTATATATATATATATGATATATACGATATATATTGTATTATATATCTATGGGTATAGCTATTCCAATAGGTTAGCCTTCTATGCATTGCAGGCCTGCTCCGACAGTCAATTATATTTTTTGTGATCAATTTAAAAGCTAGGTCTCCGTTATTTAAGTATTCTCACACAATTTTCTTTGTTCATGGAACATGTACAATAGTTGGAAATAAATCAGTAAGTTAGGTGAAGCTAAAGAAAATGCATGAAATGCACAATCTAGTGATTGAAAGGCTTCGATCAATAAAGGGGGCCTTTTGGCTTAGTTTCATTGGCACTAGCACTGTTATAAAATGGAATCCGCTTAATGTGTTATAAAGATTAGTCCTGCCTAATAGGCAGAATATTGTCTAATAAAGCTTGGAAAAGAGAACCATGAAGGAACTTGGTCTGTATATAACTTGTCTTATCATGCTTACAAATTTCTGCATGTCAGTAAACCATGTATGTTGTACGATTGGTTTAAAACTAAGAACAAATTCTGGTAAAATGTGCACGAGCACTTCTATACAGAGGAAATACTATTGATTTCATTTGTCTGTGTAGGTAGTGTAGAGTAATACACTTGCCCCGCAACGATTGTTTTTGACATTTTTAATAGCTGTTGATTAATATTTGACTATCATAGCCGTATTTTGGAGTTTTTTTTATAATGGATTCCATCACTTTGCACATGGCACGTCAGATATACGGCTGAAACTAACCACATGTGACTTCTGTTTAGAAGGATGCGATTATGTGACATTACTGATGCTTCAGTAATTATGTAACAAGTGCCGCAGAGCGACAGCGCTCAACTGACGTGTACTGTAGCCAGGTATTCTTCTGATAAACTCACTGACAACCGAATCAAGTGCGCCCTCCTGCCACCGCATTCGCGCTCAGAGCATATATCTAGGATACTACTAATACAGATCTAAAATCTAAGTTAGGATATGCTATACCTACTGGTAGTACAGTAATAAAGATACAGCTGTGTAACTTTAATGACTGCTATATTAACATGTTATCATGGATATGCATCGAGCGCAAGCGTAGTGGTGGGGGAAGGAGGGGGCTCTAATAGCAAAAGCAGTTCAGTCCTTTGTTAACAGTCAACAAATCCATGTTTAACCCTCTTGAGGGTCAAAAGTTTATCAGACACTTACTCTTCACACGTCAGCGGAAAGTAGATTTCATGGTCCTTTCAATAGTGATAAAAACGGTAGATCAGCGCTGAAACAAAAAGGTTTTGCACTCGGTCCGTTAGACCATGTCCTCAGAAAATGTCTGATATCTGACCTTTCCCCACTGCCCTTTGACCTGTGACCTCCAATTTTGCACTGGTGATGGGTTTCCTCCCCATCACACTATACATCGAATATTAAGAGCGTAGGTCGAGCCATTGAGGTTTGTGCCGCAATTCCGTATTTCCCCCTTAAGTTAAGAGGGAAATATTCCCCCTCCATTGACACATCTTGACCTTTGACCCTTGACCCCCAAATTCAACATCCCGAGTCCTTTTCGCAACCCCCCCCCCCGACGTCCAGAATATGATATCAAGACCGTACGTCGAACGGTTAAGATTTGTGCCCAACTGTGGACGCACGCACGCACGCACGGACAATCATGCGATTCTACAAGCTGCATCTGACCTCGTCAGCTCAGCTAAAAACTAGTAGTCATAATAAATTAGAAGCCAATATGTGACATTTTAATAGATGCTTATTATTTATCCTAAATCATATATCCTTTTTCATATTCATGTTATTTAAGCAATTTTGCTTATTCACAATATTCATCACCATAATTGTACTTTCTATATACACATGAGTTTCTTTACCATTTTGCATTACAATGTCGAACGAAGCTCGTCGATATATTCTCTTAATTTAAATTTCCTTGTCTTCTAGTAGAGGAAATTAGGTGCTCATGCATAAACAGCATCATGAATGCATCATGAATCACCATGTGAGTCTGACGTGACATAAACCCTATTACTGCAGTACTGCGCGACGAATAAAAAGACAGGTCATAAACTGACTGCCCTCATTGGGCATCATGAATTCAGGCTCTGTGCAGCCGCAACAAGCCGGATCAAATCTGGGAGGTTTGGCAAGAATAGAGAGCCATGCTTTAATCACTGCGAGACGGTGATGTCCACGGCTGCTTTGATGTCTTTCAGCAAATCACTCAGCTCATTTTCGAGGCCCAGTAAAACACCTGCGAATAAACATGTTGTTATAAACGTCGCAAAACTAGCAGCTACACGACCCTTGGAGGCTCTAGAACGTAAGCGAGGCCACTCCATGGCAAATGACAATTTGCATTTCTGTTGAGATCCGTGCTAGACGTGGTAAATTCTCTGACTCCTATTATACTAGAAGCAAATCTAGGCTAGCCATTAAATCGGGTAAAGCAGATGTTACCTGTGTTGGCTTGACTGCTGGCGACAAAGCTGAGAATAAGTGGAAGCTTGCTTAGCTGTACTACCTATATGCAACACCAAACACTATTTGTAGACATTAGGCATTGCAAGGTAACAGTACTTCTTACGTCAGCCTGTATTGTTATGTATGCAGACATTAGGTAGGCAGCCGAGGTGTTATAAAAAATAGTCAAAATAGTTACAGCTGGGTCTGTCCATGTTTAATCAGGGAACCGCACAACTTGAATTGTTATTAACATCATTTACACCTAAATATGAAGCATTTAATAAAAAATAATCATTAGTGTAATTTACTAATGAATACCTGGTAGGACGTATACATGCTGACAATGGCTTTATTTCTGGAAAGCCCTAATTTGCTAGCTTGGTCTGTCCCTGTACTGAATGTAGCCAAGAATCCTGGTCGTAGGGCTAATTCTGGCACATTTTCTGTCGCAGCTGCAATGGCAATATTTACGGCACATGAAGTAATTGTTGTGATTGTTTTATATTACAAGATTTACATGTTACATAAAAAAAATTGTTAAAGAACTATACCCCAACAGAGCCAGTCAGAGACCCACACATATAGTCTTAAGAATGCCTAAATACAGAGATGGAGCTTTCTGTTCTATTTTAGTTCCCTATTCAGTTTAGTTTATGCTTAGAGATTTCTGCTCTAGGTGCTACCATGGGATTAATGAAAGAAATAATGATGCATAAATTAATACTGATTACATACATTCAACACAACATGTTTATAACTGCCTTCTATATATATTTATATTTTAACTATCTTTGTGAGAATGCATCCTCAAAATGGACATGCAATGAGCATTTGTTTGGAGCAGATTTGGGTGCATGTGTTGGTCCAGGAATGCTTACCTCTAATAACAGGAACACCATCCCTGTCTGACACAATGATGGCATATAGGCCATCAACCCTGTGTAAAGGAAAACACATTAATATGTGACAATTCAATATTTTCCATAATTTTGATATTTTTAATGGTCAGTATAGTTTGCCAGCTGTTTGACTAAGCAATGGACACCAATGAGTTATATTAGAATCAAATGAAGGAGTAATATAATAATAATTAAATTTCTTCATATTATTTTAGATTATTATTTACCTTCTAATAATTCGATGAAGGTACTGCTTTAGTTCCTGTGAATAATTAAAAGCCTACTATAAATAACAATTTGGTATACGGTATTTAGAATAACTACAGAAGTCCCAAGTTGGGAAAATCCAAGAAAGGGATCACTTGTGATAATGGTCCATCGCCGTTTTTTCGCGGTGCGCAAAAACAAGAAAAAAGGTGTGGCGAGCTGCGAAATGTGTTTGTCGCGCCGCACCACCATTTTTTATAAAGTATACATGTAAAATTAAATGCAAATTCATGTTCATTTATGGTTTCACATTAAAGTGTTTGACATTTGTGGCCTTATATTGTTTGATGGAATGAAAGTACATCAACAACCACGGCAAATTTAGTAATTTACTGATGTAAATTTTAAAATATGGCTGAAAAATATTACGACCGGGACTTTCTGGACTCTTAACGGGGCACCGGGACCAGCATGGAGCACCGTGACGATCCCGGTGAGGCCGGGACACTTGGGACGTCTGTAACTGGCTAGCAAGCAACAGCAGCCCCTTTCTTGTGCCAGTCTCAGTGCCTGTCTTATCTTAATTATTAGGACAACAAGTGAAGTTCCAGTTAGACTGGCTAGAATTATTTACTCATTTATTTAATGATCATACATTCACACGTACTGGTAAAAAAATGTCATGTGGTGTCATCAGGAACACCAACCGATCTCAGCAATGCTATGCTAGTATATATGCTTAGATACAATAATGTAACCCAACAAGAGTAGACTAGGGGTACAATGCCAACACCGTTTTTGCGTGGAACCGCCCTGAATGATTCACACAGGGGGGGGGGGGGGTATGATGTGTTCTTAACTTCTTGGGGACTATGTACTTCCAATCTGGTTTTATCCAGAATAGGAATCTTTTTTCTCAATCCCGAGCATTACGCACTGGTTACCACAATATCGGCCCTGAAGCGTTTATATATTGTTTCAAAAGATCCGATGCGCATATAGCGCTCGGCTAACTTCAGTTGCAAGAGCAAATGATGCATCATATCTATATCTCCATGGCGAGCTTTCCTCAGGCATCCCGTCATGCATTTGCTCTAGCAATTGAAGCTAGCCGAGCGCTATGCGCATGATTGGGAAAGCTTGCATCAATGATCAAAGCCACAGCACAGGTCAACAGAAATGGTGGTTGGATAAATCGCTAGGGCCTGCATACCTCCCAAAGTTATACTCGGTCGGGTTTTTAACACATTCTAACTCTAAAACTGTTACGTTAAAAATGTTACGTCTTAAAATGTTTACATAAACAGGCAAGACGGTTGTCATTTTGAATACGAAGTTTTATTTCCTATCGTAGTTTATTTCAAAAGTTATATCAGTCAAAAGTTGCTACCACGCCCGCTAGATCGCCCGCGCCATATTGTCTATATTTGACTAGCCAGTGTTGCAATCGAGTCAAGGTAGCAACTTTCGGCTGATATAACTTTTGAAATAAACTACGATAGGAAATAAAACTTCGTATTCAAAATAACAACCGTCTTGCCTGTTTATGTAAACACTTTAAGAATTTTTAACGTAACAGTTTTAGAGTTAGAATGTGTTAAAAACCCGAACGAGTATAACTTTGGGAGGTATGCAGGTCCTAGCTGCAAGTTAAATCGCCACTCTTCACATCGATCTTTTGAAACAGTATATAAACGCTTTAGAGCCGATATTGACTATTATTGTGGTCGTGCGTGATGCTCGGAAAAGGAGAAAAAAGATTCGTGTTCAGGATAAAACCAGATTGGAAAGTCCTCAAGTTAGGCCCAAGATTAAAAACACACATAACACTAGCTCTAGAACTATAGCCCTCCGCTCCGCCGCAGGGCTATAGAACATACTATGGCAATTTCCAGGGAGTAAGCAAAGACAACGCTAGCGCTGCGCAACGAAAAATGGCGGTTGAAAGTTGATAAACAATCTTCGTCGACGAGTAATATAGCAAGTACAACATTTATGCGATAGTTTGCTGTTTAATTGTAGTGTTTATAGTAACTTAAGACATTTATGCGGCAGAGAATGTGCTTTATTTGGCGTACCGAAGAAGTTATTAACCGCAAAAAGTTGTCTTTGCTTACTCCCTGGAAAGTGCCATAGTATGTTCTATAGCCCTGCGGCGGAGCGGAGGGCCCAAGGATAGAGAACATGGGTCCCACTAAAACCAATGTGCCTAACCCTAACCCTAACCCTAACCCTAATTCTAACCCTGACCCTAACCCTAACCCTAACCATAACCCTAACCTATTATATTGATATAATATTATATTTATATTGATGTAAATGACATTGGTTTTATTGGGACCCATGTTCTCTATCTTTGAACCGAGCGGAGGGCTATAGTTCTAACTTCTAGAGCTATTAAACATAACACCAAGTGACCAACTCCTGTGTGAATCAGTGAATCACTCACTGTGACTCAGGGCGGCTCCACGCAAACACGGTGTTGGCGTTGTAACCCTACTCTTGTTGGGTTTATATATATATGCTATGCTATGAGTATGATGATGTAATGGTTAAACTTGTACAACACACCACACTACTCTAAACTAAACAACACATACTTTACAGTAATTACCTCAACCATGTTTCCAGAATAAAGTGAGCATCCTCGGGTGTCGGGGATCAACGAGAGGCACCGGTAGATGGCGCGGCGTCCCACTAGTAAATTGTTTCATTATGGCTGCGCCCAGTTATCGTGCATGGTTTTCAAGATCATTTTGTATACGTGGATTATACTTGCAGGGACAGTTGAAAAACTGTTTCAGAAACAACAATAATTGTATTTTACGTACGTGATCTTATCTTGTGTTTTACAGCATCCTGCTAAAGTTCTGTAGCTACGATATCGATGATACTAATCAGTAATGTATTTAATGCGTGGTACCGGTACCTAGGCCTACTCAAAAATTCTCGGAAAACGTTAGAATAGAAGACGGGGAGTTTAGTTGAGTCTAATGAAAATCATGGGAAATCAAAAAATATTGCACTGCAAATACCACTAAGGTTTTCCCTTAATTTTATGATGCCATGTTCATTCCATGGCAACGAAGACTTGACACTGACAGTCTGCAGCCCGGATATCCGCGCGAAGCGCGCAAACGCCGCGCAGCGGTGACACTTACACAACATCGCTGCATTATCTGAATTTACTTCAACGGGCCCTGCTATACGCCAAAGCCATATAATCGTTGAGTTGGGCAGTTCTGGCGATTTGACGACTGATTTCACTACCCATGTAGCTTGAGCATTGCTTGAAATGCTCGTATAACTTTTTTGGCGACTCGGCGCGCTCGTTTTGCTGTAAAAAACGGATTTCCACTTGCTTCTTTGTTTGTTTCTATTGATGAGTGTAGTACATATGGCGTGCGATAGACAGCGCAACGAACGCCGAGGCTATAGGCATAGTAGACAGGTGCCCGTTCGCCACCTTTACTCCGGCATATCGCTACACTCACGTAGTGTAGCGTGTGGAACTGTTGACCGGGTACCAGTCTATATGCACAGGCTTTCAGATTTGAAAAGTACAGGAGGACTACTAATGACTCCCCTAGGACACCATAGGGGGACTTTTCACGCT